ATGCTTAATTATACACTTAAATTGGCATCAGTTCGTCAAGCGTCATATACAATTCTTGTAAATCAGTTTACAAACGCCTGATCGCTCTCAAATTTTTATAGTTGCAGCAGTGAATTCGATTTTCATCGTCAAAAGTAACACTTTTCCATCGTATCTTACATTCCTAGATCTCTGGCAAGTTTTAAGCATAATAATGACTTCTGTGAAGGACATTCTGTCATCCTTATCAACCGCGAACAATGAGTTTATATAGTCAATTATTTAGAAACATACAAAAATCACTGATCTAAATAATTGAAGCAAGACATAATTTTTGGTGTCAGAAGTACACCTTACATTCTCATTAACCACTTTGGTGTCTTCCATTACTGACGGATGGGTCTGTCTTGACGCTCTGTGCACCGAAAATGCAATGTTCGGCCTGGGGAATCGTTTTTCTTATAGTAAGATACGAACCAGTGACTAAAACACTTGTGGTATCACTACACAATCTCCGAAACCATCTCCGCCAGATACTGGTTATGCGTGCTTACTATTTCGTTAGTTACATTGAGTCTCAAGTCTTAGAAAGCTGTACATAATCTCTATTACCCAAGGCCATATATATTCGAGCATTTATACAATACACAATTCTTCTCCTGAAACGTTTTACCTTGTTTCACCGTATCGATACGGATCATACAAAATTTCGAGAGCATCCTAGCACCTTAGCATAATCAGAGTTTAGGTTTGCTGTATATATTTATGTTTCTCAAATTCCTGTAATCAGTAGGTCATTTGTTTATACCGTAGCAATTCAAAGATGGTTACTTTTTCGATAAATACCTGCACATACATGTGATGCTCCAAAAATCTAATCCCAACCAGCTTTGACGCAGAATTATTAGAAGCAGTCGTTTTACTGGCTCCATCCCATACATCGCCTTCGTCAACTTCAATTCAACTAAATGGGTTCGAAGGGTGTTCCGCTGGGGTTGTGGTGCAGTAAGCTAATCTTTAAAATGAATACTGCCAGTTTAATCCCCTCAATGTGTAAAAATCCCTGAGGGTGACAATCGCAGTATGATCCCAACAGTAAATGAAGAACCTTCCACCACCTCTCAAAAATCATGGTTGGAATATACCAGATACAGTGAGTTGTGCGCACACCTGAATATACCTCACCAAAAAACCGACCAACAAAACGAATTTTTGTCACACTTATGTACATTTTAATTTCTCGTCAAGCTGATTACGGTGGTATACTCGGATGTAAAAATATGCATTAATTCTTATCCGCTTCTAACCGAGCGTCTGCACATAAACGTGCTTTGCAGGCATCCTCTATTTAAATGCTAAAGCAAAAAGCATTCAACTATAGACATATTGATTGAAGCTGCGAACGTAAGTCCAAAACATACTTCAAATAATTGTTTACAAAAAAGTGCAAATAACTCAGTATTTGTACTTTTAATTTTAATTCTGTCGTCACCTTTGGTCTTGTAATCACTTTTGGTATATCACACGAGCATCTTTTATGCCTAGACAATAATCCAATCGTTGTATCCATTACTTGCATTTTGATATTGGTATCACCACCCTTCCGTGTCTCAAACAAAGCCTTACCATTCTTTCTAGAATCAAGAAGCATTAAAACATGTATATATCACTTTTTGCTCACATAATTATCTGTACAACATTGTCTCAAACTTTTGCTTTGTTCGCACTCTAGTCGTAACCTCATTCCCTTGCCCGCGGAATACCGGTTTAGTCCTTCTTTTGTCTCTAATGACTTGCCGGCCACCACCAACATAAATTTTGGTCTTAAATTTTCGGGGATATGGCGTCGCGCAAAGTCACTCGACTCGAAATACGACCAGGATCATGGCACAGATATAGAATTATACTTGCTCGAGTTGAGTTTTTGTCAGTCTCTATATTATATTTAAAGACAGCAATTACTTTGACTCTTGGCAGGTGGATAAGATATTCTTTAGTCTATTTACCGATACCAATGATAAAACGTTTTTGTCCTCTCAAAGAAACATTCTACTTTCCGGGATCTCTACACACTGTATATGGTGTCCTTTAGACGACCTTCTTAGGTAGCTCCGCATTCTGGTACGTCATCACCCTCATCAAAGAATATGATAAATGAGGTATGTACAGGCCCGGTTCAATCTGTATGCAGTATTCATTATGCACATGTACAGCACCCTATATATTGAGTAGGAATCAAGGATCACATATCAGACAAAAAAGAAATATCAAAATGGCTCAATGCATGCACTTATAATTTCCGTTGCTGGCTTGATTACGTGCTACACGTTGCTATCTTGTAACGCGCGACTTCTTGATCGATAGATTTACGTTCTTATACGTTCGTCTAATTCCGTGCGAACAACGTGCATAATGTACTAAAATCGCATTTATATATGTCAGAGAATCCCTAACATTTTGCCTTGAAGTAATCCATTCGTTCAAGGATTATGCGGCAAAATTGCTCTTATGATCAACACCATTGGCTACACACCGATTTAGGCATTTTTAGATCCTCGAGCTCATTGATGTCTACCAATAACGTTGTAAGCATCTCGACGAATGATGTATGCTTAAAGTCTTGCATTGGCTGTTTGCCCTTGTTCTTTTTGATTGGAAATAGTTGCGAAAATTCCACGACGCTTATTCATAAGTAAGAAAAACAAAAGGTATTGATGTCCAATTGTTTACTAGATACTACATTTCGTATTTCAAGCTTCAATATAACCCCATTATATTGATCTTTTGAGTTTTGGGAGAATCTGAACATTTGTACATTCGCTTGGTCTCGCCAAAATTAGCTACTTCGTAAAGCTCACGTTCATCAAATGGTCGAATGTATAGTATTTTTGCCCAGCCTCTAGGTATTGCACTTAAATATGGTATATCTGAGCTAGATCATACTCGATTGAGTCTCAACATTGCATAAATTCATGCCCTACACCGTAGGGAAACACACCCGGAATCGTCAGTCCTGTCAAAGCTTAAGCTTAAGAAATAAGGCTGAACTACCAAAGTCGAGCTATCCTACGTCGATTGACATTTGTTCTTCTACTAGCCTCGTTGAAGTAAATGCGACGCAACGTGACCTTTTAACCATTGTCTGTGCTCTTGAATCTCCTTTAAAGGATTGAAAAACCAGATCCAATGTCCAGGCATAGTCACATAGTGTGTCATTATGTCTCCCAAGCCCCTTCTCTTCTTCCAACGACCTCGTCATTGACCAATCGAGCCTGTCTAGACGTCTAAAATTCCCTTTCCACAACACCAGTAGTTCTGACGCGTCGTTACTACAAATGTTGGTATATTCCACCGCATGACAAACGGCTGTCTCGTTCTTTTCTTCACAATCTTCGTGCTCACATCATTTTTTCGTGACAAGTAGCTGAGGCTACATTCTCATGCGCGCCCTCGCGCGCACCTCCATTGTGTGCTGCTTTCTTTGACCTTTTGAACTGTTTATAGTCAACATACAAAATTGGAGACATATCACTTACAATACTATACATAAGAGATAGCGTCATTGTTTTTGTATTTTTTCTGGCTTCAAAAACTTATTTACAAGGATATCATTGAATGAAATACAGACCATTGGTTGACGCAATCATGAAATCAGAATCTGCTAATTGTACGATACTAGCAGTACACAACTTAATGGGTGTCTTTCAGCAATTGCATGTAGATGATCGAGGACATTCACATGGACATCACTAGTTTTTACGGAGAAGCGCTGTCGGCATAAGTCATACATGTAATACGCCTTTGTCGTAATACTTATTTGAGTTTCCGTAATAATTTAAGTCGCATTGTGCAGGCATGAAGTGTTCTTGTTGGGACCAGTGTGCACTGGAATTACAACTCGTGATAATGCCAGATGGCCTACACATAGACAAGTTCTTGTGTAGGTACGATGCTCCTGGGTGCATGTGTATCGCCGATTATAGAGGGTGCAATACGACGGATTAAACTATAACGTGCTGCAGTGCGATGTCAACCAGAGTCAACGAGCTATTACATGACCATGTTCGATTTGTTTTGGTCTCTATCAAGCTAAAATCGTTTTCGCAACCACCTCCTCTCTCTCAACATTGTTATTAGTGCTTGTTGGCGCACCAACCAAAGAAAACATGCATGAAGATGGTGCATTTTAGTCACGCTTAAGGCCTCGTGTACGCTGTGTTGAAAGAAGACGTTCCTTACGGTCGTGCTACAACTTCGGAAATTTGATGCTGTATCTGCTTTTTTAGCTGAATTCAACGTTTAGAATTATGTATTTACTAGAGTATAAAATGTCCTACGATTTATAATAATCAATTTGCATTAGCTTTGTCTACCACTTGCTAAAGCACAATATTAATAGTGACATTTTTTTCAGCTTTTACATGATCTTGAGTAATACTGGCGACAAGTTTGCAATTTCTCAGCTACAGTATATACATTCGTACCCAAAAGCCAATTTTGCTCCATTGCAGCAAATTTTGTAATACTGATATTTGAAAAGCCCCCAGCTATAGTAAGGTATCAAAAGAAATAAGAAATAAGAACATAAATATACGGAATTCGAATCAGAATACTAACAACAAAACTTATAGATATCGTCACCGGGCAGCGGCAATCGCCAATTCTACAGCCTACTATTGCCTTGCACACGAACTCCATATCGATGGATCGACACAAGTTGAGTGCTGAGAGAAAAGAGCAGATACAAGCGGGGCAAGTTTAGCCTACCAGCAATTGGACAAGTGTCAAACAATATATTCACTACACACTTCCTATCTAACTTCCAACAGCATTCGCCTATTTGGCAAAGTAATACATTCACATGGAGTACCGTCTCAATCGCCAGCATCTCTTGGCACAATCGTGCTGTGGACCCAATGTCAAATCGGGCGCCACAGGTCTAGCTAGAGGCCGACGCTAGAGACGTCAACGTCGTGGCAAAAAGAATTGGCCGATTGATCCAGAACCAGAGCCGAAAACCACTACGATTCAAGGCAAGCAATCGACTCTTCCAGTAGCATGGAAACATCGGAATACTTCAGGCCAGTCGAAGCGACCGCATCAGCCGCTGGCTTCGACCTCGGGAACCACAAGAAGTCGGGGTGGGTGTCGTGCGACTCGTAGACCCATTCGCCGCCAATGATGATTCCATTGTCATCCATCTCGAGCAGATACGTGTAGTACTCCCCCTTCGTGTGACTGTCGATTCGCCCAGAAGACACCAGACCACCGTCCTCGTACGACTCACTGACCCACGACAGGCGCATCTTGATGTACACAATGCTCTTGGCAGCAGCGTTCCACGGGTACTTCTCGAGGCCGTAAAACGTCTGGGCAGCCTCCGCCAGCGTCATATTAGTCTGCTCGTAGACTTTAAAGCCACGCACGGGCTGGTTCCATACCTCTCGACCAGCTGTCACATCAGCGACGAACGACTCGTGGAAGATGCCCAAGATGTTGGCAGCAGCAATGTGGAACATGGCAGGATTGAGGTCACGGTAGGCGGCATTCGTGTGACGACCGTACTCGTCCTTCGAGTCGGGTTCGCTGTAGTACCGAGTGCCAATGTAGACCATGGGCACACGCGAGCCATCGTAAAACGTGGTCATCAGAGCCTTGATGTCGACTGGCGTAAACTTGACGCCGTTGTGAGTCACGGGACACCGCGGCTCTTCCTCCATGATGGCAGCAGGTGCCCAAGCGTGACAGATGCCATTCCACTTTGCAATACAAAAGCCCTGGGTCGTCGGGGCACGTCGAGCGCAAACGACATTGGGACCGTACGTCGACGAGCAAAAAACATCCGTGTCACACTTGACTTTCGAAATCGTGCCATCGACGCCGTTGTCGGCCGATATGATGTCCAAAAAGCTCAGCACGTTCAGCCCAAACGCCTTGGCAAATTTCTCGGCCGGACTCAACTCTTTCCGCTTTACAATGACGTTGATGCTGTCCTGGTACGTGGGCCAGTACGGACCCGGCCAAGGCGCACTCGTCTTAGTACCTTCAGACGGCAGGTCCGCGAGTTTGGTCACCATCGGTTTGCCAAAGTGCTCTGCTAGTCGAACAAGAGACCTACTGTTCGTAGGCGCCTCGAGTCGACGCTTCTCCGATAACACGTCCACAGCCTCGACCTCCTTCCAACCAGTGGCACAGTCGGAGGCATTAGCCGTATCGTGCATCAAGTCCGACAATGGCGTCGCTGCGACGACAGCAGGCAAACCCTCCGGCGCCGACAGAATGTCGTCGATGTAGCCGTCATGGTTGGCGTCCAGCGATGGCAGGGGACGGAACAGCACGCCCGTGCCGACCTTGGTCGACACCGGCTCGACTGGGCCCGTCGAGGCTTTTCCCAGCAGCTCTGGGTACTGCACAGGCACCGACGAGATGGACGTGATGTCCGGCAGCGTCGGGTCCACCTCGACCGTGTAGACCAAGTCCTGCACGAGCATTTCCGTACCTCGGGCCGGGAACTTGCTCCCCATCTCGTCCGTCGCGTTGGTGGCCATTTCCGGGTCGTAGAACATTGACGTGGCCGCCGTCTGCTGCATCTTGGCGACCAATAGAGCTACGACCGCCGTGACGAGGTAGGCGCTGGGCGTGTACACCATGACAACAGAAGGCCCCTGGGCGGTGGGTGGGAAGTAATCTCTTGGGTAGGGAAAAGGAGATTGGAAAATGAATGCACACACACACACGTGCTGCAAAACGGTGAGGCGCTTGCTCGATCTCGACATTCTACACACGTGTTACGCGTCGGCCATTGTCGGCGTAAACAGACAGTCTTATCGCGTTGGATGGCATAGACTCGCACGTGCTTAGGAATGTGTCGACGAACATGGTCACACAGTCGGCTATGGCTCGCACGCACGAACATCAACATCATCCTGTTTTCCCAGCATAAGGTGCCTTTGACTTGCAGCTCGAAACAGACTTCGCTGGCCGTAAAAGAGGCGGGAGAACACGACGTCTCTCGCAAACATTTGTCAAGACGAAGATGAGGCTGTCAGTGCCATGGGTCGCACACACGCAGTCGAGTGCCCTCGTTCGCCAGCCACGGGAATATTTCACGTTGCTACGCACATCGCACCCCGAACATGTGTAATTAACTGCTGTGCTGGTTTCTTGGGAGAGGGCGCACCAAGTGTGTAAACTAAATTTGGCCATCGCTGCGGTGTGTTTGTATCACGTCCAGCTTTGCACGAGCCTCAAGGTCTGGGCGATACAAAAGAGAGGCCACCGTGTGGGACCGTAGGCAACACTTTCCTCTCTTTCCACCTGCCTTGTCTGAATCGTGCCCACTCTCTACAGTCGAATTACGACGAAAAGATGCGTAATCTTGCGAACAGATGCACTTCTTATAAGCTGATCGTACCTGCATGTGGATGGGTGTCGTCAAAAAGGTGGTTATCTACATCCATGTCGTCACGGTGGCGTCGAGTTGAGGTGACAACGCATCGTCTGAGTGAGGACCCCGATCTGCGGTGTATGTGTGGACGGTTACGTTGTAGTCGGACACGATCTGTCGAAGCTACATCGAGGTCCAACTGTAGCTGGTGTGCTCTGTACTGATAGCTCATTTATGGACAGCGGTCCGGCCCGATTTTTTTACGTCCAGTAGAAGCCTCTTCGTGCTTGATGTGGGTGGGACCGCATAATAATCTGGTCAGTCCGTTTTTACAAGTGTTGGCACGAGTGGGGCAAGCTAACAATGTCAACGTCAGACTTCTCCAACGGTAGAAGTTCATGTCAGACTCCTCCATCGCTAAAATCAACTTTCGACGCACTCGGCCTTGCGAGCGCCATTGAGAGGGGACGATAGCGAGGTAAGTATGCGTTGCCGAAGGAAATGCTAGCACCAACTACAAGCATAGAGCAACGCTGTCGTTATTCCTCTTGACCAGGTCCTGATTGCATTGATACGCTTTGTTGTGCCATGTAAAAGCGCCTATCAACTCAACCATGAGCTGTCGAGATCAGCTGGTGGCAATACGTACGCAACTTTCGTCTTTCAGCGGGCATGTAGAAAGAGGAAACTCGGACCTCAATGCGCACGTGGTCTTCACGATACAGAAATGTGGTTCTTTGTCGAGGTTTCCTCCCTACATACAAACGTCTTGTTGGGCTACTCAGCGTATCGACGTACTGTTTAACAGTGGAAAGTGAAGGTGCACCGTTGTCAACACACTAGGTGAGTGGCTATAGTTGAGGAAGCCGACGCATGAGCAAGTCCCTTTGTTTCGACTCAACAATCGTAAGCGCACAATTCTATGTTGTAGAGTCGTGTCACGAAGAAGAGTCATATCGGAACAAAACGACAGCTCGTTCTTGACCCGATGCATTCGTAATCCTTCATCCCACCTGGACTGATTCTTGACGCACTTGGCTTTGTCGAAGACTTGTAGGTTCCTCGACATCAAGCATCCTCAACAAATACCCCGGCATAAATCACGATGGATCAGTCTCCCCTGTGTGCTTGCCGTCTGCAGCAACTACGAAGTCATTATTCTGACTCGAAATCCACATTCCATCATGCATGCAAAGTCTTTTGATGAAGAAGGACACCGAGCGTCCATCGAAAGACGCAAACAAATGTACTCGTAGAACCGGCCAATCGAGCATTTACAGAGAAAAGCTGACACCTCAGAAGATAACGGATGGTGTTAAGCTGCCCACTCTGTGGAATGGTAATCCGCTAGAGCGTTTCGTAACCAGTCTGTTGGAAAGTGGTAAACTCGAGATTGACAAACAGACTCCACTGGTGCAGATGTCGATAGATGAAGCAAACCTGCTGGAAACAACAGAGGATTTGTTTCACCTTGATGCAAAGGGAGCTGCCTTAATTTCGGGAAATTGATCGTCTGACCTTCGCGAGTTAAACAACACATCCAATCAAACAAGCTACGTGGAATGACGAAAACGGAGCGTGCAGTCTTTGCAACGTGATTAATCGTCAACAGATTGTGCTGTGTTGTCTCTGTTATCTGGTGTGCGTGTTGACAGTGAGGGGGGGGGGGGTGATGGACATCGCTGTATACTCAGCGGTTCAACCATTTTAAAAGCATAAGCAACAGCTAGAGTTAAGAATACTAATTTATCCGTCTTGACAAAAGATATCGTCTACTGACATTACGTTAAGCAAACTCAAAGAAGCGCCATCGTCGAGAAGACCATCAGCACGCGCAATGTCCGATCCTTTGTTGTTGCATCAATTGTTTTGGTATAGATACGACGAGATAAAGTTGCTCTCGTCACTCTGCCTTAATCCGAAGGCTGCCAAACTATTCGCAGGGCCATCGACAGCATCGCTGACTACCTCTCTTCGTACTTTGACAGCAGGCAGCATCCATCTCTATATGCGTACCAGAATAGGGTTTAGCTGGCTGGATCTCTTTATTGTACCTTATGCTCATGGATATAGGAACCAAAACAAAGCGACGGTCAAGTCCTGTGCTCCAGAGACTAGGAGTAAATGGTATAATGTAAAATTTACGCGATTATAAAAACGTGCTTGGGCGACGGTCGACATCTATGCCGACGGATACAGGTTTCCAGCAAGCATCAAATAATAACAGATCATAATTACATGTCGACGTTCATGCTTAAAACCAAAAGCAAAAAGAGAAAAATAAAGCAAACCCAGTATTCCGACGACGGATTATGACTTTGGACTAACCGTAACGTCTTCCTTTTTGGTAGTGGTAAAATTATGGTCGATGAAGCTGTAAATGCCAGTATCATTTTGAAAATTGTATTTAGCAATGTGCATTGATCAATAGCATTCATCACATTTAACGGGAAGACTCGCATTAAACAAATATGCACCGGTGTGACAGCGTGCGGCCAAACCTTATTTTGATATGGACTTACATGTCAACTTAAATAAATGTTAGCAGATTTTATTCAAATATAACGCTTAAGCGTGAAATTTAGGAACGTTACCTATATTGGCTAATACAGATATAGTTATCATCTTTTATATACATACGAAAGCTACTTGACAAGGGACTACATACTGACTGTGTAGACATCAGCATCATCCATCGACTCTCCTATCTCAGCTCGACACGCACAAGAAAAGACGAGCAAAAGCTAGCACGCTGTTGAAGCTACGTATAGTTAATTACTTTCCGAAAGGCTTGAACTGAAAGGACTTACAAGACGTGGTATATACGTCTCAACTACTACTTACGACACTGGTTATCTGTTTCGGTACACTATCTCTCTAAGCACTTGTGTGCGTGAATCACGTGGTACCCATGTAGAACAAAAACTACTGCATTAACGTATGCTGTCATTCTTATGAGCAAGAATCCTTTAAGCCCGATTAAAACTTTGATTGCTTGTTGGGAAAAATGAATCCATCTAGTCGACAGGATAGCTTCTGTGCGATACGACTACTTGCAATATCGAGACAAAGAATTTTAACTAAGAATAATTCGGGAAGTGCAGGACAGATACAATGACAGGATACGAATTTTATCTGTGTAATATATTCGATCAAATATATTACATTAATAGATTTAGGTTCCTTTTCATCATTTAATCGTTTGCAATCGTTTTAATTCCAAAACAAATTTATGATCCATTATGTGTGGCATCTTTATCAATTAACAAAGTATTTGTTCCAGCAATGGGTGTTTGGTATTTTCGGGCGCTTAACTGGAATGATACATCTTAATGCAATCGAATGATAAAAACAACATCGTTGCGTTCTAAATTTAATCAAATACTTATATATATAATTTAGCGCACTATGCTGTTTTTGAGCATATGCCTAATATACCGTCCTGCTAATCACACTATAATCAGATTTCATTGCAAAAATTAAAGTAATGAGAAATTACCGTTTTGTAACTTTGACAATTCCTAATAAACTGGCTGGCGCATTTGCATATCATATACTTCTTCAATATCTTACGGAGTAAACTGCTTTTATTTGGGAATCATCGTACAGATTAAGTTCAATTTTACGTAAAACCGAAATTTGAAGCACATGAATACATGCCGAAACCTCATCAGCCTAGCTATAGAACGATATCAAGTAGGTGTAAAGATAATAAAAAAATGACGCATGAGTATTTTGCTATCTTCATATGTTTTATATTGTTCTACTTACTATACAATGAACACTTCGTGCGGTCTAATTATATATTAAAATTTGTATGCCATGTGGCCTCTGCATATGCGAAACAATAAGCAGATGCGATTATTCCTAATGCGATTGCAGATGTACTGAATTACAGACATCAACTATCCTGTTCAATCTGGGACCACTCTAATGCGCACCACATTGTCCAGACAATAAAAAGCATAACAAAAAATTACATACGCTCGCGTCCATAGCATATATGACTTTATGTATTTCGCGTCGATCCACCACTTCTTCTTGTCTGTCGTTTGGTAAACAGCATATTGACGCATCACAAACTATCAACATCAATGTTTAGGCTATATATAAATAGATGTCCATTCCAAAATGATTCGTACACGTGTATACTATATAAAGTGACTAATATGGATTCTTTAATTTCTGTTAGATTGCGGATCAATAAAGTGATTGCGACGAGTACTTGATGACAAGTAAAGCTGACATTAAAATTCAAGGCTG